TCTTCTCTCATTCCACCCCCACCCCTCTTTTCCAGCTGTCATGTATGAATACTTGCCAGCTCTTTGTTATTATTGCTCTTTGGGGTCTTTTCAGAATAAGGATTGGGAAAATTTGGAATTTAAACCTTATGGGCTTGAATTTTCAAGTTGTAAACTTTTGGCGATTATGCTTGTCCAAATGCAGCTTCCTGTCCTCATGGGAAAAAAAAGTCTCCAGAGACATTTGTACATGTAGTACCTATTGCAAAAGAACATATTGTTAATTATTCAAGTATAAGGGAACCAGAAACTTATGGATTATATTTCCTCTTAAATGAGCATTGTCTTCAAAATGAAGGAAGTGAGTGAGTTATTTGGCAATATTGACTGTAGGATATAACACTAATGGAAGTATTAAGAAGTTGAAGCCCGGGCGCGGTGGCTCAAGCCTGTAATCCCAGCACTTTGGGAGGCCGAGGCGGGTGGATCACGAGGTCAAGAGATCGAGACCATCCTGGTCAACATGGTGAAACCCTGTCTCTACTAAAAATACAAAAAATTAGCTGGGCATGGTGGCACGTGCCTGTAATCCCAGCTACTCAGGAGGCTGAGGCAGGAGAATTGCCTGAACCCAGGAGGCGGAGGTTGTGGTGAGCCGAGATCGCGCCATTGCACTCCAGCCTGGGTAACAAGAGCGAAACTCCGTCTCAACAAAAAAAAAAAAAAAAAAAAAAAGAAGTTGAAGCCATTGTAATATATCAGCGACCAGCCCAGTCTTTATTTTTTTAAATAGATTTTATTTTTTGGAACAATTTCAGGTTCATAGCAAAATTGAGCAGAAGGTACAGTGATTTCCCATATACCCCTACTTCCACACATTTGTAACCTCTCTCATTATGAACCTAACACTGACACATCACGATCATCCAAAGTTCATAGTTTATATCAGGGTTCACATTTGGTATGGTCTGTTCCATACCAAGTGTGGGCTTAGACAAATGTATAATGCTGTGTGCCCACCAATATAATGTCATACAGAGTTGTTTCACTGCCCTAAACATCCTCTGTGCTCCACCTATTCATCTGTCCCTCCCACAGCCCCTATAAACCACTGATGTTTTTACTGTCTTCATGGTTTTTCCAGGATGTCATCAAATTGGAATGACAGTATGTAGCGTTTTCATCTTTGTAAACAGATCTGGTTTCAAAACCTGGCTGAGTAAACTTGGGCAACTTCTTTTGCTTTTCTGGGATGGTTTCCTCTTCTCTGAGAATTAAACAAGACAATGTTTATCAAGTGCCAGGTTCAGATCTTAAAACATTCATTACTGTACAGATTTACTTGATTCCTTAATAGAGAGAAAGGTGATTTTTTTTTATCAAGGAGCACAACTACAGTAGGAAAAAATCATTATAGCATTTCTTATGTCAGACCCAATATGACATAGATGTGTGGTTCCAAAGTTTACACAATATGTAGAGATTGGTTAGTGACCTGATTTAACAAGCATCTTCAGATCACCATGTGGGGCTTCCTATCATTTTCTTTAGGCACTATTAGTTATTAGCTTCCCTTGGATTTTTGTCACAAAGAAGGAAAACCAGATAGAAGAAGGCTAGAAACACACAGGATGAAGTCATCCAATATGTGTGATATTGTTCCACAAATATAAATGCGTTAGAATCAACAAGAACAATTGTACAGATCATGCAAAGTCACAAAAAAGCAAGCTGAATGTCTGTGCAGAGTTGTAGGGCGATGCTGATGGGGCTGGGCAGGCCTGGGCTGTTGGTATGAACTGTCTTTGTATTTCAAACATTTGGTAAAATAGTAAAAGTGAAAATCTACATTTGAAATTACTGCAAGAATTATTAGCAGAACTTATATGCAGCACAGGGGGTTAGCTCAGTGGGAATGCATATATTGAGGAAAGCCAGCTAGGATCTGCATTCAACAGATAAAATTCAAGAAAGTCCTGCAGCAACGAAACATCATATTTTAAATAACCTGCTATTTAGTCCTCTTGGGAAAGTGGAAACTTTCTGTCTACATCTAAACTTCTGTGGGGTTGTAGTAGCCTCTGAAATCTGGTCCCTGATGTGTTCTGTCATTCTGAAACAAGCCCAGGTCCCCAAGGAGCAGGGACCCCAGCAGGCCTTCTGTAGGAAGAGCAGTCTCATGCCACTGTTTTCTGGTCACTTCACTAAACAACGTGTCTCCTTCACCATCACTGCAGAGACAACACATTTAAAGCCCCCTTCTCCCACTGGTCCAAATAGGTTGCCTTGGAAATAGCTTGGACTCTTTCCTTTACTTCTTTTCCCATTGCACCAAACTGCCACACCTTGTTAACTTTTTTTTTTTTTTTTGAGACAGAATCTTGCTCTCATCCATGTTGGAATGCAGCAGCATGATTATAGCTCATTGTAATCACAGTGATCATAGCGCAAGAGATCCTCCTGCCTCAGCCTCCCAAGTAGCTGAGATTACAGACACATGCCACCATGCCCAGCTAATTTTTAAATGTTCATAAAGACAAGATCTCTTTATATTGCCCATGCTGGTCTCAAACTCCTTGGCTTAAGTTATCCTCCTGTCTCAGCCCCCCAAAGTGCTGGGACTACAGATGTGAGCCACTCTGCCCAGCGCTGTTGACTTAAAAAAAAAAAACTTTATTGAGATATAATTTACATATCCTACAATTCACCCATTTAAGTTATACAATTTAACAATTTTTAGTGTAACCACAGATATGTGCAACCATCACCATAGTCAATTTTAGAACATTTTCATCACCTCAAAAAAAAAAACCTCCATATTTTTAGCTTCATGCTTTCCTGTGCCCTCTACCCCAGCCCTAAGCAACAGCTAACCTATATGCTCTATCTATAATTTGCCTGTTCTGGATTTTCATATGAATATAATTACGCAATATGTGGTCTTTCATGACTGGCTTCTTTCACTTGGCCTAATTTTTTGAGGTTCATCTATGTTATAGCACATACCAGCACTAATTTCTTTTTATGGCCACATAATATTCCATTGTATGGATATACCACATTTTGTTTATTCATGCCTCAGTTGATGGACATTTGGGTTGTTTCCACTTTTTGGCTATCATGAATGATGCTGCCATAAACATTAGTGTACAAATTTTTGTGTGGATATGTTTTCATTTTTCTTGCACACAGACCTACAAGTGGAATTGCTGGGTCATATGGTAACTCTAATCATTTGAGCAGCTACCTGTTTTCCAAAGTAGCTGTGTCATTTTACATTCCCATGAACAGTGTATGAGGATTCCAATTTCTGCACGTCTTCTCCAACACTTGTTATCGTTTGATCTTTTAATTCTATCTATGCCGTTGCCTTTTATAAAACTATTTTCCTCTAAAAGAAGGCAGAATCTCTCTTACCTAGGTCATCTCCTTTCCTGATGTAGCCACCTCAGTCTAGCTCTTCATCATCTCACACAGAACTCTGGAGTCAAATCTGCTTCTTATTTTTCCAGAGCACATTGCAGTCCTGCCCAACTCTATATAAGAAATATATTTTCACTTCCATTTAGTCTTCCTCAGATCTCTTCAGTGGCTTCTAACTTGCTATTACTTCATCTCTGAACAACTCTTGTTAGCTTTCCAGGTACCCCTGGAAAATTTAGCCCCAGTAGTCCTACTCAGCACAGATCCTCCTCCCTGATAAATCTTCCAGACGGCGCTCACCCTCCTTACTTTTTCCTGCTCACTTTTGCAGTGACGCTGCCTGTTTACTTTTGCCTCCTCAGCATTAGACTCCTCAACCCTCTTCCCTTTCCCTTGATCAGAAAACAACATAGCTTTCAAAAAGATTTCTCTGATTTTTTGCCCCTTCCTTCCCATGTCCAAGGGGTGGGTGTGGCCAATCATGTGTTAAAGATGTAGGTCAGTCTTGTACTTTTTCCCTGGATTGCAAATCTGAGACAAGTGATACAGGATTGAAAAATGGTGACAGTGGTCTCCCAAAGAGACTCCCCATTAATTTTATATACATCTACATACATCTACAAGGACATCTGCCCAGCAACTTCCCGTCCAACCTCAGACTGTCATCACCCTTGTTATTGGTCTTCATAGACAAAGATAATTATTTTAAAACAATTATGTAACCCTTCTTGTTTTTCCTTTAAAAAGCTTTGTCTTCCTTTACCTCCCTAAATATGAACAAAGTTCTTGTGGCATGCATATTCCCACTACAATGCTCTTTCCCAAATAAATATCTTTTCTATTAAAAAGCCCCTCTCTGTTATTAGGTTGACAGTACTAATCAATTCCTTTTTATTTGTTTGTTTGTTTATATTAGCCAAAGTCAGTCTTCATTGATTAAACCAGATAATCCTAACAGATACATCAAGCTCAATAACACTAGTAGGACTATATCTTTAGCACTGCTGTGGACAAGGCATTATGTGAAACTCTTAATCTAGATTATTTCAGTTAATCTTCATAAGCATCCTGTGAAGTAAGTAGCATTTTGTCTACCTTTTATGAATGAGGAAATTATATCTTTGAGAAGGCAATAAACCTGTCCCAGACAACACAACTGATTAATGGCAAGACAGGTTGAATCCAGGTCTGCCCAGTTCCCAAGTCTATTTGCTTAACTATTATGCAGTTAGGCCTCTCCCGGCATCTGTCTGATAGCCAGTGAAGGTTCCTGTCCACAGAGTGCTTTGTACTTCTTTGGTATTAAATATAGCTCATAGTCTTCTGATCACAATTGCATTAATCATGTATTATAATTACTTGTGTACATGTCTTGACTTCCCCAACCCAGAATCTGGTATATATATAATAAATATTTCTGAATAGATAATTGTGTCTAAAGAAACCCAAATGAAATTCCAATTCTAATTAAAGTAAATTGTCTTGACAGAGCAAGTAGAGGGACCTCAATGTGGCAAAAAAGGCAGTAGCTACACTTTTCCCATGAAGGTACTTATAGTTTCATAGTTATTACAAAATACAGATCTCATTCCCAGTGCTTTTCACACAAACCTTTAATAGTGGATTGTGGTTTTGGTCAACAAAGCTACTTTAATTAAACTCAGTAGTTAGCAAATACTTGTGGCAAAATTTTCCCCAGGTTACATCATTGGCCAGTGGATCAAACTGCTTTTCACCAGGATCTCTCTGCTGGGAGATTATTTACTTTGTTTTGTCATTTAGTTTTCTTTTCATAGTGCTTCTCCTGGACTTTTATGATAACCAAGCTGAATTAGCTGCTGCTTTCTTCACAACTTTAATGTTGAACCCTGGAGGGACAGAAAGAGAAACAGTTCCCCAAGTGACTATTGGTAAACATACTAATAAATGGAAGGGAATGGCCCTGTTGGAATGAGATGATGCCAAACTAGCTGGCTAGTCCTAGGTAGAATTAAGCAAGATGGCACAGGCCAGCACAAATGAAGTCAGTAATAACACTGGAATGTTTCCACAGACTCCATGAGTTGTCTAATTGAGGTGATTTTTTAAAACTCCCATGGAAAATATGCAAAATCTAACTTTCCCTTTTACATATCCCCAGCTGCTACCATTTACTCTCCAGGCTTTGGTGGTTTAAGGATTTATGTCCCTTTTATTAGGGCCATGAAACACAACATTTGTCTTTCATAACTTCTTTGGTAATACAGAATGCTTTAAACTGCCCCGTCGGATTAACTGCGTGCTACAAAACAAACCTAGAATGCTGCCATCATGAGAAAGTGGAACTGATAGTGTAACTGGAGATGAAGGAGAATGGCTGAGGCAGAGCCTGAAATCAGGTAACTACAAGAAAAAGAGGAAGTCAGTTAAAGGTCAGTAAGAATAATGAAAGACTTGAAGATATCAAAAAATAGCCTTTATTTTTTTTAAAAAAGAGCATATTCCACACACTTTAAATGTTTCTTTTTGCTTCATTTAAATGCCATTTTCAAACATTAGTAAATAAACAGGATGGTTCTTAAGAGATGCATGCTAAGTGATAGAGGTAGGATGGACTTCAGGCAGGGCTCGGAAACCTGGATTTAAATCCTGACTCTGCCTTTTCTCAGCTCTGTATTTTTGAGCAAATTGCTAAAGTTCATGGAGCCCCAGTTTCCATTCTTGTACAGTGGAGATAAAAACAAAGGCCTGTACAACTGTTATAAGCAATAAATGAAATGCATATGCATAAAAGTGCTTGCTAAGGTGAATAGCACATAGTAAGAACTCCACATGAGATAGCAATATATATGCTCTTCTACTACATATATTGGTAATTCCAGGGGAAGCTAAATAAATAAGGTTCTTAGGCAGTAAGATTAATTTTACGTATACTGCTGCATTAATATGTCCTATCTGTGGCAATGAGGGAAAAAGGGACTAGAATGGGAGCCAGAAGCCTGGAGTTCTAGATACTATTCTTCCACCAACCAGCTGTGTGACAGGGGCAAGTAATATGATTTCCCCATCCACAAACATTCCCTCCTGTGCTCCAAGTTTCTGAAGATACCTTCATAGGACTGCTGTGATGCCAAGTACATAAATTTGTAACATCTTTGCTCTCATTATTGGGAAGATTTTTTTTCTTGCTTTGGATTTGGGGCTGAGTAGAAGATGTGTTTGCCCAAAGTGATATTGTAGTTAACTGGAATTCAGGAATCTTATATTCTTTCCCAAATTTTATCAAAGATTTATTAGGCACATACTATGCCAAGCAGTGTAACAGGAACAGTAAATACAGTGATGAATAGGACAGCTCTTATCTTTGTTTTCATGGAGTAAAACAGTCCTGCGGATAAGATGGGCCTCACAATAAGCAACCCCATATCAGGAGAAAAGTTAAGAGGCTTTTGCAGTGCGCCATGTCAGGGGTGATGTTAGCCTGGAGGGGGTGGGGGGTTGAGGCCCCTAGGAGAGAGAATGTTAAAGAGGTATTTTGGAGGTAAAACTGATAAACTTGGCAACTGATTCCATGTGAGGAGTGAAGAACAGGGAGGAAACATGGCTAACTCCCAACTTTCTGGCTTGAGCAATTGGGAATGGGAAGGGAGATACCATTTCCCAAGACAGAAAACATTAAAAGAATTGGAAGAGCAGCAGATATTGTGGGGTGAGAGGTTGAGAGAAAGAACTGAGTGCAATTCAGACTGAGGAGCCTGTGACACAGTCAGCACCGATGCCAAGGAGCCAGTGGATATAGGGGTTAAGTTTGCAGACATAAAAATGTAGGATTCATCAGCATATGTGTGATATCTGAACCTATGGGACAGGGAAAGAGCACAGAGTCAGACGAGAATATGTCCCAAGACCAAGCCTTGAATAACTCCTTTATTTAATGTTTGGTAGAAGAAAAGGCAAACAAATGTATCTGAAAACATGGGCCAGAAAGGAGAGAATCAACCAAGGGGAGACGGTCTCAGAAGTCAAACAGAAGGGAGTGATTCATTGTGATGAATGCTGCAGAGGCCAAGTAAGGTGGGAACTTCGACTTTAGCCACATGGACATTATCGTGACCTTAGGGTGAGACGTTTCAAGAGATCATAGGTTTGGAATTTCAATGGGGATAATTTGAAGAGTACCAGGTGAGAAAATAGAGACAACAAAAGCACATACTCTTTAAAGAAGTTCTGCTATAGAGGAGATAGAATAATAGAGGGGCATGCACAGATCAAGGAAGCATCTTTGGGAGGCTAAGGCAAGAGAATTGCTTGACCTGGGTGGTGGAGGCTGCAATGAGCCAAGATCATGCCATTGCACTCCAGCCTAAGCGACAGAGTGAAACCTTGTCTCAAAAAAACAAAACAAAACAAAAAAACCCTACAGATGTCAGCATGTTTAAATGAGAAGAGAGTGGCAGAGGACGGGGAAGAGAGTAGGAGTAAAAGTGAGAAAGAGTAAGATTAATAGATAGCAAAAGATTTCCAAGAAAATGTGAGAGAATGAGATTCAGAGCCTAAGTGAATGAACTGAACTTAGACAAGAAGCACATGTTATTTGTTGTGTGCGGAGAGAAGAAAAGATGGGTGTAGATGCAGATAGGTCTGGTATGGAAAGCTGAAGTGGTTCCCAGTTACTGCCTTCTATGTTCTGTGTGAAGTAGGCTTTTCAGTGCCATGAGCCAGTAAGTTTCCCTTTTTACTGGCGGTAGTTTATGTTCAGTTTTCAAGCGGCTTTTTCCCTGATGGAAGATTTTAATTTGTTTAAAAGGAGCTACCCCTACATCCCGGTGATCTCTTGTTTGGAGATACATTTGCTGTCCATGTGAATACTAAGATTCAGTGGGGATGATACGTTCTTGTTGGACTTAGAATGGAGATCAGAGGAATGTTACAAAGCTACTAAAATACTTGAGAAAAACCGTTTTTTGGAATGACGCTATTTAAAAAAAAAGCAGGATTTAAATTGTATATAAAATCTAGTTACAGTGCTTTTTAAAAATCAAAGATGACGTAAATACAACAAACTTTTACAATGATTGTTTGGGGGTTGTGATACTATGCTTTATTTCCCCAATCCCGGATTTTCTGCTATTTTCTACATTTTCTTAATAAGCATGCATTACTTGCATAGATTTGTGTACTTATTTAACTTCGAGATTAATTTATATTTTTGCTAATGTGCATACATAATTTTAAAAAATCAAATACTAAAAAAGCTTATAATAAAAAACAGTAATTTTTTTTTTACCAGACCCCCTCTACACACCCTCCCCAAGGCTGTTTTAGTTGTTTGTTCCCACTGTGCCTCCAAATATCTAAATACTAGGCATAGATTGCTATTTTTGATTTGTCAGTTTTAGAAAGTACCTTTTGAAATTCTGTTACATCAAATGGTGAATTAAGATCTCTTCTACACCACCCTTTTTAAGTCCCTTTCTTCCCATCTACCTGATATGATTATGCCACAGTTTAGGTTAAAACTGTAATGATATATAGGTACATTCATTGTTCACCGCTAAGCCAACAGTATAGCCACGAATATATTTCTGGTTTTAGATAAATTTTTTCTTCTTCCTGGAGTTAATGTTGGCTTGTTTTTTCATTTTCTTGTTTTCATTCATTTCCAGGTATTCATTGCAATTTTCTTAAAAAGGTCCAGTAGAGTTGTCAAACTTGCAGCAGTGTTTGTTAAAGGATAGAATGCATTGGATAACTCTGCCATCACCCCACCCCTCACATCGCCTACAACTGACACAGCTTTCCACACTGCTGGGCTGGTTTCTCTCTAGGTGGGCTGCACAGCCTCACCCCCAGGATGTTGGATCCCTTGTTTCCTGAGTCCGATGTCTTTGCCTTTCTGCTGTGTGTGGAGAAGCACATTTTTCACTGGCTTTCGAAGAAAGAAATATCTGAAAATTTCAGATATTTACCTTGCTATCATACTTGATTGATACTTTAGCTGGATATAGAATTCTAGCTTGAAAATAATTTTCACTATGAATTTTGAAGGAACTGCTGAATTTTGTTCTGTCTTCTAGCAATATTACGGTGAGTCTGATGCCATTCTGATTCTTGTTTATTTTGTTCTTTCTCTGGGTCCTTTTGAAGGTGCTCTATTTTTGGTGCTCTGAAATTCACAGTGAAATGCCTTGGTGTAGGCCTTGAGTTGTTGTTATGTTTCAATTGATTTTGCTGGTCATACAATATGCACGTTCAAACTAGATTTATATGAATGTGTCAGTAATTGTCTTCTTTATTTTCTCAATTCTCTTTCTAATCCTCTGATTTTCTTATCTAGTTTTCTATCTCTTCAAACACCTTGTTTCTCTTTTAGGATTTTTCTTTGATTTTAATGTCTAAATTTTTTTACACTAAATATTTCATTTCAGCTATTATATGTTTAATTTCCAAGAGCTTAATCTTGATTTTCTACTGTTTCTATTTTCATTCTTGTTTTATGTTCACAATGTTATTTCTTATCTCCATAGCAATATTAATTGCAGAGTTAAAACATTAACTTTTGCTTCTCACATTTTCTATTTCCTCTTAGTTCCTCTTTGCTGTTCAATTGTTGTTTTTTTTTTCTTTCATGTTGGAGGGTTTTTTTCAAATAATCAGCAATTCTTAGCTACTATTCATATATAAGAACAAGGTTCTACATGGCCAATTAGAAGTTTTGTGTGTCAAGGTGGGGAGGAAGTCTAGCAGGGATAGGATGACTAGTGTCCTTCACGCAGTGGTCATCAAGACATGCATGAGCTGCTCTTTCCTTCAAATATCTTTTGCCAGAAGTCTTCTCTCTGAATTGTTTAGTTTCTAAGGAGAAGCTCCTCTCACCTGTGTCTGGGAT